CTTATTCACACTGATTGAAAACATGAATTGCTCAAAGTTTTAGACTATGTACATGGAAAACAATTAAATGGACTAATGAGGAACATATATAAATATGTAATAAATTCCATACTGGATTAAACCAATAATCATTCCAGCTCTGGATCTTGAGATCTGTTTAAGTTCTTTCATGCCCAGTATTGCAAAAAACATATATGTGTGTGTTTATTTATTTAAAATTCCCTTATCAGTGAAAGAGCAGTTTTTGGTTCATTTAGATTCTGATTAAGCTTGCCACTGGATATTTTAAATGCCTAATAGTATTTAGAATTTTTTTGAGTATAAATTTTTGCTTGCTCTTAAGAAATAATCAGTCAACTGTAAGGATGCCTTTTATATGTCTTCTCTTGAACTCACTTTCTCCAGACTTTGGATATGTTATGGTCATAAATCCACTTTTGTTGGTCGATGTTGGTTTTAAAGTATGTTCTTGGTTGCATCTGCTCCTCTTCCAATTGCTAGTCAGCACTGAACTGACCAAAAGGCTATCAACCAGACAGAAGCATTTGATGCAAAAAATTTGACAACCCATTAGCTAGAAAACTATCCCCTGAATAATTCAAAATTGATTGAAGGCCCCCCAGATATAAAATTGTGTTGCAGTTCTATTTATTTTTGCATAGCCTTCTATAGCCTTGGAAAATGTAGATCAGTGATGTAGCAGCAAAGGACATCATGAGACCAAATAGAAAATGAGGACTTGGAAGGTGCTTTGGACCTCTTAATTTTCAGGCCACTTGATAGCAGATACAGTTCATTTCACAGGAAAATTGCTTGATCTTGGGAAAAGGGTCCTGGAGGTGAGGGAAAATGAGTCAGTCACCAATACAATTGACCTTGCAATTCAGTCATTTAGATCTAACTAGAGAATGATTGCTGCCATGTTCCAGATAAAGAATGAAAGCTTCTTTCCACAATAAAATGGTGAATCATGTGTCCCCTGTGTTTAGATTCTAAAATAAAAAAGAAGTAAAAGGAAGGACAGAACTATCCTATGTATGTTAATGCACACTTTCCATTTTTAATAGAGAATGCACCATTGTTTGAGCCTTATAATTTACTATCACATGGTTTTACTTGAGCTTCATTATAGCACAAATAGCTATGATTTCCATCTCATGTGTAGAAACATTTAGAGAAGTTGCAGTCACACAGTTCATATATAGTCTAGACTGGGACTCTCAAACCAGGATCATCACTACAACTCCTGTGTTTAAGTACTAATTGACTCATTCGATAAACATAAAATCATATCCAGGGCTGTGGCAGGACAAAATTCTAAAGCATAAAGAAAATGTTAATATTCAGGAAAAGAATTATGAACAGAAATATTTTACTGAATATTTTGTTACATGTTCAATATTTCTATAAATTTTCTCATAATGTACAAAATTTTGAATGACATAATTCTTTCTATAGTCCCTTTTCTATAGTTGAGCAGTTCCATAAACACAAAATATTCTCTCCTACTCCCATGTTTCAAAAGATCCTTTTTCTCCTCACTCCAGTTCCTCCCTATCTGCCCCTTTATTCTTCATTGATTCCCCTAGTCTCTAACCACCCAACCCCAGATTTTATCATCTTTATTTCATAATCATTTGTTCAGTGTCCTATCTCTCATGCTCTATTATAAACTCTTTTATGATAGAGAACTTGGCTAATAATAACTCTTATTACAGTGATGAGCATATCTTGAAAGTAAGTACATTTTAATATCTTCTGTGGTAAATAAATACTATCCTGATTAGAAGCTGATATGGAAGGAGATCACAATTTGTATGAGTACTTAATAACTTGAACTTTAACCTGACAGGAAGCAAAAAAGTTGAAAAAATGATAGCCCTTTATATATGATCCAAGGAGTTAGCCCTCACATCTTAGTACCATTACATATGGTATTTGTATACCTGAGTTCTGAGAGCCAAGGGAGAAAACATTGCTTTTTGACACAAATGTCTTTAACATGAGATTAAAAGACAATATCAGTAAAGAGTTGATAGGTATCCACCATCCAAAACAACTTGAATTCTGAATTAGTATTTTTTAGCTTTGGACTATAAAAGGATCTAGATTAGATTGTCAAGGAGTGTGAGGATACATGACAGTATATCTTTGGAGTAATGAAGACAGAAAAGGTCAAGATGTGTCTTCTAGAGAGAACACCTCAAGTGGGCAAAACTAAGAGTTTGGAGAAAATCTAATGTTACGTTATTTCTAGCATAACCCACAAATGTAAGAAAAGAGTTATTTTGAAACATAATTTATTATGTTAATATAATATATGAAACTAATAGGATATAACTATAGTAGTTCTTTTTGGACCAAAATAAGTTGTCAAACAGATACAAAATATGTAGACCTCAAAGTATTGTGCCTTCAATATGCACATTTTAAATTAGCCGATAGGAAAAAAATAAGGTGGTAATAGAAATGGGGGAAGGAAATTTTAAGATGTCACAAGATGAAATTGTTAAAAGGAAATTTAAGCAGCAGGTCAGGATCTCAAAAAGATGTATTACAACGTCATGGTAACCTAGTTTTTCAAACTAACTATATTCAAAAACAAGTGACTGCAGGGTAGGAAGAAATCCCAGTTGCCCACCAAAAAAGTTGTAAAGTTTTACACAGATGCAGTCATACACATAAGATACAGTGGTTGAAAAATTTAAAGAGTAAAATGAGAAAAATAATTAACTGGATATCTGAGGAAAATTATGATAGTGATAAAAAAAGATAATGGCCTAGTTACACTATCCAAGAAAAAAGCTAGAAAGAATGTAAAATAGATATACAGAATAACGAATTATCATAAATGTCCACAGAGAAAGAATACCTTTCAAAAGTCATCCTAGTTGTCCTCGCTAGTGTGGCTCAGTTGGTTGGAGCATCGTCCCATACACCAGAAGGTGGCAGGCTCAATTCCCTGTTAGGGCACATACCTAGGTTGTGGGTTTGATCCCCAATCCCAGCCGGTATGATTGATGTTTCTCTTACATCAATGCCTCTCTCTCTTTCAAAAAAAAAAAAAAAAAAAAATACAG